TGGTTCACAAAACAAACTCTAGGTATGTATCCCCTCGGGGAACACCTTTCGTGATTAAAATTTAATATGCACTCTATCTAAATGTTCAAGAAGGTTTCAACTATCCTGAAATCATGAGAGGCTCACGAAGACGTTCTCCAGGAGAGAATTAATTTTAGAGGGGGGGAGGGGGGGGGGGGTCTGTATTGAAAAATCACTACCGAGGGGGCGGGGGGGGGGTCTGTATTGAAAAATCAATTCGAGGGGGGGGGGGGGGGGGGTCCGAATTGAGCGATCAATTATTAGACCCGGACGTCCCAACACTTGCTTCGCAAGACAAACTCAAGGTATCCCCTAAAAGGCTACCTTTCGTAACATGTCATTAACCAAACATTTGATGCCCATCTCATTTTCGGGGTGTTCCTACCTCGTTTCGCCAACTAACTCTAACAATGGGCTATAGAAAAAGAACGCCCCTAAACCAATCACCACTACCGCAAATAGAAGCCGTTGCTCATATGCTCTCGAAATAATTAGAAAGATTTTCAGGGAAACAACCTCGCCCCAAGGCTCAAATCATCGGTGAATCGGAGCATCATAGGGTTTTAATTATCCTAAAACCAGAAGAAATTCACGAAGACGTTCCCCAAAAGAAAATAGACGTGGTTCACAAAACAAACTCTAAGTATGTATCCCCTCGGGGAACACCTGTCGTAATTAAAATTTCATATGCATTCTGTCTAAATGTTCAAGAGGGTTTCAACTATCCTAAAATCATGAAAGGCTCACGAAGACGCACTCCAGGGGAGAATTAAATTAAGAGGCCCCAACAGAGAAGAAAATATATTCTAGCTATATAACACCTTGCGATCCTTTCGAGGAACACTAAGACGCTTACGAAAACGGTTTCCAAAATATCATAATATTTTAACGAGAATACATTTCGTAATTAGAATTTTATATATATTCTTTCTAAATATTCAAAAGGGTTTCAATTATCCTAAAATCATAAGAAGCTCACGAAAACGTTTTCCAGCGAAGAATTAAATTTAGAAAAGGGGAGGGAATCTATATTAAAAAATCAATTCAAAAAGGAAGGGGTTTTATATTAAAAAATTAATAAAGGAGGAGAGAAGGGTTAAAATTAAGTAATCAATTATTAGACCCGAATTCGCCGACACTTGCTTCGCAAATCAAACTCAAGCTATCCCCTAAAGGACTACCTTTCGTAACATTTAATCTTTTGTTTTTAATTCCAACGCCCAAAAATATATAACAAAGACATCCTACAACACGATAACACGCAATTCCGGCGAATTCAATATCCAAACTCCAAAACATATTTAACGACGCCACCCTACACCGAAACTGTCAAACGCAACGAGGCCACAACAATACAATATACATATAATCGTATATTTTTAAATTTACATTAATCGAAAAAACATTACCGCGTTTTTCAATAATACATCGTTCAACATTTTTCCAAAATTCATTAATTTCAAAAAATACGAAATCTCCAATTTTCAACTAAATTTCGTAACACAACTCTAAATTACGGAAGAATTTCGAAAAAATACATAATATAGTATAATTATCTTCGATATTTTGTATTTTCTTTTATCTTTATATTATTAAAACACGATATACAATTTTAAACAATTATGTAGAGCATTTTATTTTATATAAAAAAAAAAATATATATATAATATAACCATATAATATTATTTTACTTTACTATTAACTATTTTTTGTAAGGTACAAATTATATTTATATTACAATATTTTGTAAAATATAAGTTATATGTATATTGATACTTTATTTATATTTTCAATTTTCAATTTTCATGAACCTTGGCCATTTTAAGAATATATCAATTATGTCATTTGAAGTCTTCATGTCATCAACACGCAAAAAATATCGTTGATTTGATGCTAAGGACCAATCTCTCCAAGCGCTTCATAGGCCTAGATGCAAGGTCAATACATTGTACAATAGTTGCATTGTCTGGAAACATGTGATTGCCAAGGTTGAATGCCTACACTGCCTACACTAAATGAAGTGCAATTGTAGCAAAGGACTGCCAGGCCTCGGAAATCTCTCGGAACTTTTGATTCGCCAATCGTAGGTTGGCCTCGTCCGCTTGATTCTTGTCTGGATGGTACTGCCTCACCAAAGAGCTCTGCTCCCCTAATCCGTTTCATCTTGTCCTTTCTTATAATGGTGGCCTCCAACCTAATGATCCTAATGCATACATTTCCCATGAGATTCAGGCCGAACGGACAATTCCAATCTCTGAATTTCTGAGGCTTGAACAACACCAGCTTTCTGTATGCGCCTGTAATATTGCTGGTCAGAGAAAGGGATATCTGTACGCAAAAAATGTATGATCATGTTCCCACGTGGTATAGTAGTTAAGTTTCCCTAAAAATCTAGGAACCAAATGAATAGCGTGAGCTGTCCCGCGTCCTAAGTAAGCTAGTAGCTTACCTCCATACTTAAAAAAGTAGGCACCTTCTTAATTAAGTAGGGAGGAGAGGGAGCGAGCTTAAAAAAACATCATGTACAGGAAAGAAGTGGTTCCCGCATGTTCCCACCACCTTGCGTGCTGGGGTGTCCGAATCGGTTGCTGAGGCTGAAACGTTTCAAGTCATCTGGAGATGCTGTGGCCGGAAGACCCAGCCTGAAAACTCAACATCCCTATCGGTTGCAAGACTGGAAAACTTTTGCTGACCAACTCAACTTGATGATTCAGGGCGTAAGCGATAAGTAAAAACTACCCGCGTCGCTGAGGACATCTGGGGACCCGTCGTCTGAAAATGCCGGGCAATTCGTTGCAGCCTACAGGATTCGCGCGAAGAGCCAACAAAGCAATCAAAGCACCTACTGTTGTTGTGTGACAACAAACACACACAATCTCTTTCTATTCAATGCATATATATATATGTATACATACTGTAATGTACATAAATTTTTTTTGGGACGTCTCTAGCAGCTCTAGCACTTAAGGTTTAACAAGTATTGAAGCAACATTGCTGGGCTTGTGTCATCTTGTGCCTGTCGCTTCACTTGATTGGTGGCCTAAGGCACCCACAATGACACCCCTCAGATGCTGGTTTAGTCTGAGGAGTGCGGAAAATCAAAAACTTAATTGTGCAAACAAATTGGAATTGCAAGGCACTAGGGTAAGTTTAGCCAGCGGCCAAACATTGTACAGATTTGTGAGCCATCGTCCTTGCTGCGATGGTACAAACAAAAGGTCCCTGGAAAAGTTCCCTGGTAAAGCCATGTAAAAATATTCGCCCCTCTGTCGCCATGTTTCTTCGCTCTAGGCTCCCGCAAGCTGGGTAAAGCCCCTCACATGTGCAAGGTTGCCTTTGGGTGCCACGAACGGGACAGATGAGTGGTGAAGAAAGATGCGCACCTTGCCATCTGTGTTCTTCTTGTAGCCGAAGGTGTACTCCACTTTGGTCTTGCTTCCGTCCACAGCGGTGGTGAAGTAGTAGTTTCCCAATGCAATGGCCACGTTGCCGCTCACATCGATCTTG